TTCATCAAAGCACATTTTCGAAAATGCAAAAGCAAACTTGTTGCTTTGATTCAAAAATCTGCCTGTCGCGAAGTATCTTCTTGCACATAAAATTTTATAAATTTTTCTACGGAAAGAATTCTAATCTATTATATTTCAAATTCAACTGAAGTTCAGAATTATAAAACTTAATTCATTAAATCATTTATCATACTATTATAAAAGGGAAGATGAAGTTGGAAATTGTTAATTATTATAACAATTATTAATTATTTACTAATATAACAAAATATATCATCAGTATATATCAATATGTAATAACTGCTTGTTTCACAGAAGTCGGAGGGTATCCGTCTTCTCAACTATGAAATGCTCAAACGAAGTCGTCTTGATAATAATTATTTATAAATATTTATAATTTATTTGTTTATATGGATATTCATATGGATATTTTACTGTTGTAAACATTTATACTGAAGATATTTTGATCTTATAAGTAATTACCATAAATGTATATATTTTAATTGTTAAAATCGCGATGTGCAAGAAGCCCTATCCTAATCTAGTACATAAAAAAATATTACTACTCACGAGTATAAAAAATACCCGCGGTCACTATGCTCATCAAAAATTCTACGTATACAACCAGTCACCCATGCCGATTCGGACTTTTCGTCCTACGACATGATTGAGTGACCGGAGGAACATAAATGCATGCGACTCACGCGATAGATGTGAAGAAGGTTGTCATCGATGCTGCACTGGAGCAGGAAAAGTTACCGTGAAGACTCTCATCAAGTAGATACCCATGGTGAAAGTGAACGCCGTAAAAAATTTTCTGAAAAGCATCAAAAATTTTGTTTCTAAAGACACAGTGTTATTTGTGAAAATTTAAATTTTAGTAATGATAAAAATTCGGGCTAATAATTTAAAGTGTTTTTATTTTATAATTATAATTTTACATTCGATTTCAATAGAAAAAGAACTATAGAGAATACAATCTAAAGTACTTACATTTTTAGCTTTTGAAGCATCGCAATTCTTGGAGAATTAGGGAAAATGGAGACTGTAGAAGATCTGTAACAAAACATTAAAAATTAGAATTTTGTATTTAAAAGGAAAGTAAAATCTTAAGCTGAAAATAATGAAAGATTCTTACATTCTTGGCTCTAGAGCCATCGTTGGAATTTCTCCCAAAAATGCAAAAAAATTGATGCTGTGAAGTGTCTGTAACAAATGTCAAACATTATATTTTATTGTTAAATTTGAAAAATTGTACAATTTAAGATACGATAAAACTACTTACAATCTTGATCTCCTGAAGAGACCTTATCCTCTTGAGCACTAACTGACTCTAATACCGAAAACGAATATTGAACAAGGAAAAGTACAAAAAAAAAGAAAATAAGAGACTACCAACACACACGTAGTAGCAATCGGCGGACTCATTAACTCTAAATTCGCGAATTACAATTTAAATGAATTAATAATTTAATTTAATAAGAGCCATTTTGCTCAGAAAAATATTAAAATATTGCGCAACAAACACTGACTCTACCGACCGCATTGCGCGCGGTCACAAAAATTTTCTGAAAATAAAGCTGATTAGAAGAGGAAGGGCAAAGAGTACGTTTATTTAGAAAATACTGTTATTCTTCTAGAAAATGATTATAAACTTGAGCAAATTTGTAAAATTTGTATTCTAATGTTTGTTATTAAAATGAAGTATGCATATTAATAATATATCACGTCGTGTATTATAAATATTCGAAAATATTTGCACAAATCAAAATTTCACAATTAAATGTATTTAAAAAATCATGCACGTGTGAAATCTTGCTCTGAATCATTTAATTACGCGTCAGCGTTCGGAAAAAGTATATTGTAGCAAAGTATAGTATAATGAAGTACGAAACGTTTGAATTTAATAATCTAATACAAGAATTGTGTCCATATACCACCAAGTTATGATCTCCATATTCGAAATATTAATTGCTTTAATCTTTTCCATTTTCATCCTTGTTTCATACCATATAATTATGAAATTACGTATTGTGAATTGTATTTCAAATATACATAAATTATATAACAAATGTTACCTAGAATGAACAAAATGTTACCAACTTTCCGTGAAAGTTCATCAGGTTGTTCATTAATAATCGTACCGTCTATGCATTTCATGCTATCTTTGTAACCAAGGAATAACCTGCACAAAAGGAAACCAAAAATTAGAATAAATATGTCAAATGAAGGCAAATATGTAAAAGTGAAACGATAATCAACTTGAAATTCTATTAAAAAAGCGTACGAGACAAGATACTGATAACCATAAGAGTGAAATCAATAACTGAAAAAAATCGATAATAAAAACAAACATAAACATTGTGCACTGATGTTGTTTTGACTTTCGGGGCCTTCTACACTTTATTTTATTTAAGAATTAAACAATTTCATTATATTATGCAGTAAAATTATTATTTTAACTATTACGTACATCCTCAATAAATTATTGTTGAATTTAGTATATATATATATTCTAACCAGTGAAAATATTGTAACCTTGTAGTTGACTAATTCATTGTTACATATATACATATACATATATGTATATATGTATGCATATATATATATATGTATATGTATATATGTAACAATGAATTAGTCAACTACAAGGTTACAATATTTTCACTGGTTAGAATTGCAATAAAATTTTGGTACAAAATTATAAATAACTTTTAGCATAGTATGTTCTGTTTGAATATTTACATGCTATTATTTCTTTTATTGTTGAAAATCATATGTAATAATTTTTTGGTTAAATCTTACCTTGACTTGAAGCCAAAAATGCATATTTTATTTTAAAAATGCACAATACAAACAGAAATCTAACAACTATTGCTTTTATATTTTTATTTGAGAACTTTTTTAGATAATAATACTTCTTTCTGGATGATTCTTCTGGATAATACTTTCTTCTTTACGTACGACGAGGAGTGCTCCTTTCCGCCATTACTCCCGCTTGAAAATCGATCGTGAGAAATATCGATTATTTCGATAATCGTAGAAAGTATGTTGCGTATTTCACTGTTGCGGCGCTGCAATCGCATATTTCGCAGGAAACGATAACTTAGAACAAAAAATAAAAAAACTGTAGTCCAAATCAAATGCACAAAAGTTATAACAAATTCTTAAACAAGAACGAAAATAATCACATACTTGATGAGAAATTGTCAACACTTTAAACTGAGACATGACAAATTTTATTATATTAGTAGTAATAGAATTATTATTTCAGCCATTAAATACATATATCTTCAATAAATTATTCTTGAATTTAATATTGGAATTGTTAAGAATTACGCAATATGGTGTTAAAGAATCAACAAATGAATAGAAAATGTTACAATAAAAGTAAAAGCATATTATACATATATATATATATATATATATATATATATATATATATAAAAGTAATCATATTGCAAAATCACAATATTTGTAATGGTTAGAATGTAAATTTTGGTATATAATTATAAATAATTTTTAGCATAGTATGTCCTGTTTAAATGTTTATATGCTATTATTTCTTTTATTGTTGAAAATTATATGTAATAATTTTTTGGTTAAATCTTACCTTGACTTGAAGCCAAAAATGCATGTTTTATCTTAAAAATGCACAATACAAACAGAAATCTAACAACTATTGCTTTATATTTTTATTTGAGAACTTTTTTAGATGATAATATTTCTTTCTGGATGATTCTTCTGGATAATACTTTCTTGTTTACGTGTGACGAGGCGTGCTCCTTTCCGCCATTACTCCCGCTTAAATATCGATCGTGAGAAATATCGATTATTTCGATAATCGTAGAAAGTATGTTGCTTGTTTCACCGCTAGTGCGCTGTAATCGCGCATTTCGCGCGAAATGTTAATTTGATAAAATAAAATATAAAAAACTCTGATTTAAATCAAATACAAAAAATTCTTAAAAAAGAACGAAAATATTCATACTAGATAAAAAATTGTTATTACTTTAGGTCGAGACATGAGAAATTTTATTATATTATGCAGTGGGCTATTATTGTTTATCATATCATGTATCATAAATTTTTTCCTATTCCTTGTATTTTAATTTTATACTAATTTGCAATTTACTTGTCTCCATTAAAACTGGCCTTAAAACTTAGTATCTACTATTTCTTCTTCACAAAAGACATTTACTACCCACAAAGACATTTAATGACAAATAAAAATGTTATTGTACCTGAAAGATTGATCTTCAATTCAAGCGGCGAGTTAACCCGTTCTGCTTGATTAACGAGTTAGAGAATCGTTAGCGAATCGCGATATGCCAGGTACATGGATCTGTCCTCATTGACGAGCGAATTGAAGCGCTTGAGGACAGTCAGCTATCGGTTGACATCCAGTCGAACGCACATGCATAATGCGTTCCATTGAACGTAATCAACTAGGAAACGCTTGGGTAAGCCTTGAAAACCGACCTTGACTCGTGTAGGAAAGACGCTTAATGTGTGGATGATCTAACACGTGCACAACACCGTGTAAGCATGCCACGAGCGTTTTCAGAACCTTGTGTCTCTCTGTAGGAACCATATGAATATGGATTGTTCACGAGTCACCAAACAAAAGTGCATTCATCGAACAAGAAGGACGTTAATATTAATATTTAAATTATTGTCGATAAATAATTTATTTCATTTGCCGCGTTGAATCGACGCGGTTCAAATTCCGCGTCGATTCAACGCAGAAAACCTGGCGGAACAGGATTTATATACATATTTCGTGCATCAATACTTCGGTTTATTCGTCACAATGACATTGCATCGTAAAAATGGTGATAGTGAATTATCTGGTGAGAAATATGATTTGACAGATTGCTTTAGTTGTGATAGCATATTCATTTAGTTGGGACAGTTCGTATGCAAAAGTAAAAAAGTTAAAAAAAAGTTATAAGAAATTAAAAATATAGAATTAAGTTTTTGCATTAAGATTTCCTTTCTTTGAAACGAAGTAGAATTCATTAGATGTACCTACACGTGTACTAGCTGTATTTTTCCAGCATGTAAGATAATATCAATGACAAAAGGTAAATCGCGACAACACATTTACAAGTACAAACAACGTGGCGAAGGAAAGATATTGACTTTTCTTCTAAAATTCTATGTGAATTTAATAAAAAAGAAAAGAACGCGATTCATTTTTTAAAACAGTCTCATAATATTGTTAATCTCTGGTCGTAAAGAATCAAAAATTTGTCTGTTTGAACTATCAATTTTAAATCTGCGTTTCAATCCTCTATCGATCATACAGAGAGATTCATTCAGGTCAAAACTTAATACACGTGTGCCTAAAGATTTTCAACGTTATCAATGATTTCAAAAGTAAAGTATGTCCAAAAATTTATACTTTTTAAATTTTTGTTCTATTTCATCGTGAAGAATCTTCTTAGAGATTGTACTACTGTCGTGAAACAGTTTGTACAGCTCAGTCTGTACAACTAACCAATGGAAATTAAAACAGCAATTCAATTGTAACTATGACTCGATGTATCGGACGCGCATTGTTTTAAACGAGTATCCTAATCAACTATTTCCTCCATGACTTTCGTGCTTTCCTCTTATGAACTATAGTCCCGACCTCCGTGACAATGGAATGTCGCTTGTGATCTCTGACGTCACGTATCTTTGCGTTTGTCATCCTACTGAAAATACCAGCTTACGCGACGTACTTCTGCTCCCTGGTAGTATTTTTACTGTGTTCGTGCTTGGAATTTGAGTCTCCGCTGTATACATCTTCCCGTAATTATGAATACGATACCTGGAAAAATAAATCACTATTTCGAAACGAGTTTTTACGAATAGAGGAATTACGTGTAATTGAGGAACAACTGTGCCGTGAATCAATTTCCGTTAATTTTCCAATTTTTACGTTATATAACAATTAAAACGACGACCTAGATACAACTGCAGTACTCTTAATTTGATGATCTTGCAAGGTGCCTAATTTTATTTTACAGTCTTTTTTTTAGAGAATCAAGATTACGTCTAATCTTACCAAAAAAGTTTAGATACTGAAAACTCATAAAGTTGAATTCAAAACCGAAGATTAAAGACTACGTCTGTTTTTCTTCTGTGATATTCAATAACGAAATTACTGACTGAGACAGATCTCCTCGATCTGATTAAGATATATTTATCACGCTAATTTTGTTGTTAAACGAAACCAGCGTTCAGACAACGATATGTACGAGAACAGAGAGTGACGCGACAAAAGCTGATTTCAAATAACGAGGACAAAGCTTTCTCTGTTCTCCATCGTTCAACTAGGAAGTCGCTGAAGTAGATTTATCTCCCGTCGTTTCTTGAAAGTAATAATATGTCCCTGGGATACTGTTCACTGCGTTACTCCGCATTGGACAAAAGCTGGTCTCACCTACGCACGAAGGATTCCACCGGTTAAAAGAAGAGAAGGTGAGGAAGAGGAGAGAAAGATGACAAGATTAAGAGAGAGAGAGAGAAGAGGTCTACGCGTTCACTTTCTCGTTTGATGGGGTAAACTGTGCCGCCTGAAAACCAGGTCGTCGGGAATATCGCAGAGAAAGTGAGAGTACCATCGACAAACCTCCCGTGATCATGATGCAGCTGTTATTTAAATGATCCTGTGGATCGCGATCTATCGCGGCTTTTCACTCAGGAACGATCGACCAGGGGGCAGCACCTGTTGAGCCAATTTTATCGAAACCAAGCTAGAACAGCGATCTCTTCTTTCGTTGTAATTTCAATCTTTATAAAAGGATTATTCTGCAACATATTGAACATTATACATTAGAAAAACAAAATATAGATGGATTATTTTCAAAATATAGATAGACTGAGAATTGTTCAGAAATTAATAAATGAAGTTTCGTATCGTTACGTGATGAAAGGAAGAAATTTCAGTAGCTTCCTTTTTAAAATTAATTTAATTCATTTAGGGAATAATACAGTTATGCTACTAGTTGTATTCAATAACAAGAATAATGCTTTGTAACAGGTATTGGAAAAAAATGTAAGAAAACAACAGCAGCGTGAAGTTACGCAAGTTGCAGTTATGGAACCTAATTTCAAAAGTTTGAACTCGGGAGGAATAAATTTGTAACAAGCAGTTATCCACGCTCGAAGGTAAAAGCTGATAAAATTAAAGCAACAATTACCAAAGCAAGAAACCTACAGAATCGAATTCTGTAGACTTAAGAAAACATTCGTAACGTCATCTGTTTCATGTTTTTCTATTTTGCAGTTAAAGTTAATCGACGTCCGGTACGTTAACTCTAACTCACACTTGAGCATAATTTCAAAAACAAACGGCGAGATCTGCCTCGAGAGATCGACAAATCGGAAAGTTTGTACAACCAGGCGAAAGCGAAGAACCGAGCAATCAGCGATGAATTTCAATAGAGTGTCGTTTCATGAGCATTCACAGAAACGAACACGACAAACAAGTACGTACCAGCGTCTTCGACTTTCGATTTAACCGGTCGTGTCGCCGGTGCGATCGTTTTCGCCAGGGGAAAGAGACGAGCCATTCCGCCGCTATCGCGTAACTCACGTGACCTATTCACCCACTTTGAGTTTGGCTTATTCCCCATTGTTCACGGACAGACAATGAGCCCGAAGGAATTCTTCTCGAACGTCTCCCTCGACATTCTACTTTCGACGGCCAGAAACAAGGTCGGGACGACTATTTTCCCGCCTTTGGCAAGCATCGTTCGCGTGCAATGAACGCTCGCGTGTTTAACTACATACTTGCACCATGTAGAAAGTGAATTGAACTTGCTCTGGCAACGTGACAGCTCCGCTCATCCGTTCTTTATCGCTAGAGATTCTATTTGAAATTTACAAAATTTCTAGCGCTTAACTCGATCTCCTAATCCCCCTAATCCCCGACTCGTTTTATATTTATTACAAATGAATTGTATTATATAATATTATGATAACTATATTCTGGAAAATTTGTTCAGAATGAAACGAATCTTAAGAGATTATAAACAAAGCGTTCTATTCGTGGAAACTATTGCACTTATCTGTGTAATGTGTAAATGTGTAAATGCAAAAGACAGTAATTGAAAAGCAAATAATCTTGATGCCGAATTTCGATTAAAAACCACTACTGGGAAAGCTGAAAGTTTGTTCGATAAACGGTGGATAGAATCGCGTGGCATAGAAGAAGTAACAAGTCTCCTGCTATAAATACCTATGTTTCGTGTAAGACGCAGAAGCCTGGGGCTGACCTTTAACCTCGAAAGGCAGACGGCCTGAAAGCGAAGTTCTATAGCGCTAGTAGACAGTTCGGTGGCATATATTTCGGGGTCGTGACCCAGTTAACCGTCTAAAGTGTGTTGCCACGTCCCTATTCGATCCCTTTTCGAAGGCCACGAACCGCCAGAATAATACATGTGTAAACGATACCGATCCGAATAACACATGGTGATACGCGTGCCATATTCGTCGTGTCCTGCCACCATTGTACCTCGTATAATACTCCGCTTTACATATGTTTCACGAGCGTCGACCTCAGGTAAGACGTAGTTCACCATCGTCCTACCTAGTCGTACACCAGACTCACTCGATTGACCCGATTACATTTCTACGACTGAAAACGCACTGCCTATCGATTCGTGACGCTTCTATCCTTCATCTGTTTTCGCTGTTTTCATTTGGAATTCAATCGCACAGTGCGAAAGCGATTCGAAGAATTTGCGTGTTAGAAAATTCGTCGACATAACGTTTTCGGTGCAAAAGAAACAAAAAAAAAAAACGACACTTTGTTGTTAGTCAAAAGACTTCCAACGACCACTGTATCTATTTAAAAAAAAAAAAAGAAAAAGAAGTCTCAGGAAGAAAAATATAACGTGAAAAAATTCAACGATATAAATCACAAGCGACAATAACGCTCGTCCAATGAAATACCCCTTAAAACAGAAGAACCATAGAAGCAGCAGAAAAGCGTCCCTGAACGAAGGAGGACGACGTCGAAGCTCAAACAACGAAAGGACAAAAGAAATTTCTTCATCTTGTGTGTTGATTTTCGTGTTCCTTGCCGTTTAGCGGTTGATTCACGCAACCTCTTCAAACATCCCGTAGATATATGTGTACACGATGAACATTCTTCACGTATACTAATCGTTCTCAATGTCATTCATCGGAGTGGAAGGAAAATTTTCGACCGTCGAAAGACTAGCATCTTTCGACCGAACGAATTCACGAAATTGTCGAGCGAGGACGAAAAGACAGCGGAGCTTCGGCTTTGTTTCCTGGCCGACCCAGAAACCCGATTCTTTCTTCCTCTCGGTCTCTCTCTTTCTCTCTCTCTCTTCTCTCTACCGATCTACGATCGTAGGTGCGCACACGAACCGTTTCGCGGAGGTCTCGTTAGTGAAAGTTGCCCGCCATTAGTGGGGGAGAAAGTGAAAGCCGTTTCCGGGATAAGTGGTCGCGGTCGCCGTTGAAATTATATCAAGGAGGCGGACTGATATTAATGGCTAGCCGATGACACGCGATTCCTCGCCATCTATTTCGCGTATTTACAACGAGCTGAGATAACGTTGCCATTATGGTACCATTTTATCGGTGTTTAATAATGTCATTACAGGTTCATGAAGTCAAACGATATTATATAACGTGATATATGTATAATTTATATAGAGTTAGAGAAGAATTCGAACAGAAGCCTTTTATGAATCCATTGTATGCATGAAATGTGAAACATTTTGAATTTTTATTAGCAATGGTTGAATGGTAAATTAATAATATGGAATTATTAATAATAATGGAATGTAGCGGTAAAGTTCGAAACAAATGAGAAAATGTAATTTTTATCGAAACAAAACTCCATTGTATTTTAAAGAAGGGAAGTCAGTATATTAAGGAAAGTTAGTATGCGATAAATAATTATTTAAATTCAAGGTAGAATCGATCTTAACAAAGGTTTCTATTAGTACTCTATTTTGGATATTCATACATTTCATGCGCACACTATGCATTACTGCATGCCTTGAAATTTCCCATAAATGCAAAATCCATAATCTTAGATAAAAAAAGATTAAATGTAATTAATTGTAAGTTAGAGGAAGAAGGTTTGTTAAAATATTAACGTAATCTATAAAATAGGAAAACTGTGTCCATCCGAATATTTCTATTGAATAATACATTCAAGATAGTTAGTTAGATAGTTATTAATAGTTTCTCTAAATATAATACTGAATTACAGAACGTTTATGCAGCGACCAGTAATTTTAAAGTACAAAAATATACAGAATGTACATACATGTAAATTTTCGGTTTTATTTATATTTAAAAAGATATATAAATTCGCACAAATATCTCGCTGTAGTGATATGATAGCCAAACTCATGCTTATCTTTTTCCATATATCCTACCAATAGTAAACATACATTTTTCCAAAAAAAAAATCTCGCTCTTCCGCTACCGAATCGAATCATTTACCACTCTGTTTCTTTATTATTCTATCTTATTTGAAAGATAATTTATCTACATCGTGAGAAAATAAATCTTCTCTGGAAACCGACGAGGCAATTACCGATAGAAAGTGAGACAATGCGCGTAATGCAAGCCTATGTAACGACTGTTGCATCATTGAAACGAATTTACATAATCACATCAGAGAAAAGGAATATTAGTCGTCGAAAAGGCAGACGAGTATTAATGAGTATATACGTGAGTAGTCATTTTAAACGATAGATAAATTGTTTTAGATGATCAACGATAACCTATCTGCGGTTAATTAGATATGTTGAGTCTCATTACAATGGCAATGAAATTTCAGAATGTTTGCATAATGTGTACAGCATACATAATACATCCATAAAGACTTTCGTCAGTATATTATTCTTTTTGCAATGTAAAAATAGCATTAATTGCAGTTTCAGTTAAACTTAGCTCGTGCCAAATAAAAAAGACCTCAAATAGTAGCAAATACAAAGCTTCAAATTCTTGAATGCAAGCAGACGAGAAGAAGTAACACAGGAGGGGAAGTGACCGGGTTGCGAAATCTGGCGAACGAAAGCGAGAAAAAAAAAAGAAGGCGCTCCGCGTTTTTTCCTTTCTGTATCGATCCTCCCCTTTCTCGAAACGCGAACGCACAAAGAGAACACACGGCGGCATGGTTCTCGATCTCGAAAAGGGAAAGGGGACTCGGAAAGTGGAACACGGCCAATGGCCTGATGTCCTCCTGACACATATTTCACCGCTCGTCTCAACGAAAGTGAAAAGAATCGGCCGTTTTATGATCCGACCTTAGTCTTAGATTTATGGCTGACGAGTACTTGGGAACTTGTGTTTCGTCTAATTACATCTTTCTCCAACAGAATGGTCAATTTACGATGAATGTATTCCAAAAAAGTGCTATTATTCCGCTAGAAAATCATAGATCCTTCGAACTTTATTTGTGTTCTTTGTGCTGGCGATGAATAATATACTTCCTCGATGGTGTTTACGACACTCTTGTGCGAGTACAGTCGTCCCTAAGCGTTCTTTGTGGTAAACGTTGTTCTGCGTGCACAGTGATTCATAAATCTATTTAACCCTCCGACTACTGAAGCTAAGGCTCCGGTGGCTGGGTCATTTTGACTCACAAGGATATCCCACTAATACATATTTAGGGTCGTCCGGACGGCTCACCGATATTGTAGTACATAGTGTAACGGTATTCGAGACCGAGATCCTCATTGATATTGTACCAACACAGTGACAGACACCCGACTCACATAGGAACATATAGGAGTATAAGGAACAAATAATAG